GGCTCCTAATGTGTTGGATGACGGCTGACATCCCGGATGAATAAGTCTAAGCTCCAGGTAGTCACTCCAAGGTTCCTAGGCAGATGGAGAAGGAATTCAGCTTGTGGAAGGAGTGAGTCAAGGGCCTGATTTTGGTTTGGAAAAAAAAAAAGTAAGACCTGCAAGGTTCATGTCCTGATAACAATGATCAGATCATCTGCCTGCCAGTGCCAGGGGGATAAGGAAATAGGAACAATAATAAAGAGAGCAAATGGTCACGGGAACTTCTGGATGAGCTGAGGGGCTTTGTAAAGCATGAAACTAATAATAATATCTTAATCATGTGGCAGGAATGTTAGAAACATTTATAAATATAATTTTACCCTCACAACAACCATATGAAGGGAATAATATTATTATCCCAATTTTTCAGTTTAGGACCCCAGCAGGCACAGAGAGGTTAAGTAACTTTCCCAAGGTAACTCAGTTAGCAAGTGGCTGCTGGGAGTCTGTATAAGTAGAAGAAAGGGTTACCCTGGAAAAACCAAGGAGATGGCCTCATTGAGCCAGAGAACCCAACAAAGGCACAGCTGGAGATATTGGTACAAGTACTGAGAAGAATGATGATGATATTCAAATCTTTACTTTGAATAAAATTATAAGAGAAACTAATCATATTGTCAGTTCAATGATTAAAATAAAGTAACATTTTCTGTTCTTGTGTCAGTTTGCTGAGGATGATGTTTTCCAGATTCATCCATGTCCCTACAAATGACACAAACTCATCATTTCTGATTGCTGCATAATATTCCATGGTGTATATGTGCCACATTTTGAAACACCGCATATCCTCACTCATAGGTGGGTGATGAAAAATAAGAACACATGGACACAGAAAGGGGAGTACTAAACGCTGGGGTCTATTGGGGGGAAAAGGGGAGGGCCAGTGGGAGGGGGAGGTGGGGAGGGATAGCCTGGGGAGAAATGCCAAAGGTGGGTGAAGGGGAGAAGAAAAGCAAAGCACACTGCCATGTGTGTACCTACGCAACTGTCTTGCATGCTCCTCTGCTCATGTACCCCAAAACCTAAAATCCAATAAAAAATTTAAAAAATAAATAAATAAATAAAGTAACATTTGATGATGATGCTGTGAGATATAGCCTTCAAAAGTTATTTCAGTATTTGAACCACCGTTTTGTTTTGTTTTGTTTTGTTTTGAGATGGAGTCTAGTCTGTTACCCAGGCTAGAGTGCAGTGGTACGATCACAGCTAACTGCGACCTCCACCTCACAGCTTCAAGTGATTCTCCTGCCTCAGCCTCCCAAGTAGCTGAGATTACAGGTGCCTGCCACGACACCTGGCTAATTCTTGTATTTATTTATTTTTTTTAGTAGAGATGGGGTTTCACCATGTTGTCCAGGCTGGTCTCGAACTCCTTACCTCATGATCCAACTGCCTCTGCTTCCCAAAGTGCTGGGATTACAGGAGTGAGCCACTGAGCCTGGCTCACATTCTTAAATAAAAATTAAATATATATATTTTCATTGCACATATGTGTGATAGTAATCAATAAAAGACCTTAAAATATAAGATTTTCTATATCAGGATAAAAATTTTTTGAAGCATGTAGAATAAAAATGTGAATAAGAAAAAAGAGAAATAATATAAAATTTCTGGCTGCTAAAAAATGGTTAAAATTGGAATTCTTTATTTTAAAATATGATGTTGGGTACAAAATTCCTGTAATATTTTGATTTCATTTTGGTCATTTAAAAAGAGATGTAACTATGTTATTTTAAAAGTTAGAAATTGACTTTATCCTGAAAGTTATATGCTTTTCAACTACTTAAACATATAATAAGAAAGTTTTTAATTTAAACATGATTTAGTGGCTAACTTTTAAAATTCTCTTTGAAGTACTTGAGTGACAAAGTCTGAAATCTACTGCTCAAGCTCATGGGTGATATTTAATGGATAATCCTTGCTCCAGAGAACCAAGGCAATGAAGGTGAGTTGGCGGAGGTGGATGGTAAGCATACAGGGATTTGTGGGTTCTATGTTTCTACCTCACTTCTGGGTTTGCGTCCTGATTAGGTACAAGATCTCTGAGGGGCAAACACTTTTTTTTGCCTTGAAGAAGCTCAAATTGTCTCCGAGAAATGGTGGAGGAATAGCAGAAAAATTCCTATTCCTTTAAAGCCTGTTTGGACATACTGGAAAGCTCACTTGCCCTGAACAGACTTTGCACCAGGAACAAAAGACAGCATAGAAGACCTTCATGAACTGGTGGCAAAGTTAAATAGAAAAACTGATGTTATCATAGATGCCAGTATGGATAAATGACGTGAAACATCAATCGAACTATGTAGATGCAATCTGATTAAAAAGAGACAAATGCTCAAATGAAGGAAATGGTTTTGCTCCCCTGATTGAAAAATAATAGCATATGCTGGAAGAACTCCACATACATTATTTTATTCTCAAAACATAACTACTACATGGGGTAGATATTGTTATAATTCCAATTTTAGAGTAAGCGACAATTCATCAAGAGGGATTAAATAACTTTTCCAGGTTATATCATTTATAAGTGGAGAAGCTGGAATGGGATCCTGAAGCAGAAATTGAGGCTCATTTGGAATAATGAATACATTGAATATGGCTGGGTTGTGAATTTGTGGGTATGTAATCTATACATACACACACACACGTGTATATAAAAACAGCACCGGGATTCTGCTGAACGTGCCAGGCTGGTGTGGCTTGGGTAGCATCTCCATTTTATTGTTTTCTGTGGTCTGATTTTCCTATTCATGAGACAAGCTGATTGTCAATATAGAACCAGAGCTTGCAACAATTCCAGTTCACATCAACTCAAAAGAAGGTAATTTACAGGTCTAATTTCTCTGTTAGACTATTCATGATTTGTCAGAGAAGTGAAGATGAGTATGCTTTATCCCCAGAATCAGTAATAAAGGAAAAAGTGAAAACGTATAACTTATTTCTCTTCTTTTGAGAAGTCCTAAGAAACTGAGAAATTCTTTATTTTTTTTATTTTTATTTTTTTTAAAGACAGGTTTCACCATGTTGGTCAGGCTGGTTTTGAACTCCCGACCTCAGGTGATCCACCTGCCTTGGCCTCCAAAGTGTTTTTTATCTTATGAGCCAAGGATAATTTGTATATTGAAAAATATCTAGAGAAAAACAGGAATAACTTTTTTCATAATTCTTCTATCACATATGCATTTTACCTTGCAAAAATAATTATGTTTATGATCTCAGAAAATATTTGGGTGACTTTTCTGTGAATATTTAGAGGAAAAAAAAACCACTAAAGAAATAGAACTTCACCCAGGTTTTGCACTTGAGGTTGAGAGGTAACCTCACATAAACAGTTTTACTGTGTTTGTTGTAATGTCATTCTTTAATAGCACTTTATGTAAGTAACACTCAAGCATGGCAACATAATAGCCCTGAGAAATACACAATTTAAACTATGTGGAAAGTAGTATTTTATGAGGTGAATAGACAAATACATTAGAGTCCTAAGAATGAAGATGGCATTTAAAAAAAAAAAATCTTGCAGCTAGTTCTTCCAACTCTCAATACCTGTATACTATGAAGGTAACATTGTTATGAAATCATAAAAATTAAAATGTATACCAGAGGTCCCTCCGGAAAAACCAACTTATTGACAATGGATTTCACCAACTGGCAGGCATGCCAGTACAATTTGTTGTGGTTTGTTTTAATTTTGCAGAGGGGCCTGCATTCTGGTGCAAAAGGTGGTTGGCTGAAAGGATAGTAGGATAAACACTTAAGAAAAAAAAATTCCACAGTAATCTACAGCTTTGTCATCATGCATGGAATTCAATAAAATTCTTGATGTCTCTGGTTAAATAAACATTTTTTCTTACTTAGTCTGCTTATTTTTTTTGTCTAGACTAAAGCTTTTTAACAGGCTGCAAAACAAGTTGAATATTTCTCTTGACTTTAGCTAGCGGAATACTTGCAGGAAACAGTCATCGTTTTCTTAAAAATTTTTCACTTGGGTAAAAGACATAAATCATCAGCAGTACATTAAAATTATAAGAAACACATCAAACATTTTAAAACTAAGGTTAAGTTGAACTATAAGCAAGGGAGGTAATGAGAAATACTGAAGCAATTAGGGAATAGTGCAGAACCATTAAGTCAGAAGACCAGTTAAGACAACCTTTAATTTTTGTGGTTTCCTTTTTTTTCACTGACATTAAAGATTGAAAGCCCAGAGGTAGAATAAAGCTGTAATAGGTCTGCCATTCAAACGTATTAACTGCACTTTGAGTAGATATCTGTGGCTTCTTTCCTCTAATTTATTAAAGGCTCATTTTTCCTGGTAAGTTGATACCTGACCCAATGACTGCAGTTTCCCCACCTAGATCATTGATATTTAACTTGACATAGGACACAACTGAAACATTCCTTCCTGTTCTAGCAAAATGATGCCTTCTAAATAAGGCAATGTTAAGACATTTATTGAATACTTACCATGCAAAATGTTCTGCCCTAATACTTTACTGGTATAACCTTGTATAGAAAAGGAAGGCAGAGAGAATTTTAAAACCTTCCAAGAATAAGACAGTTAGCTTGAATTCAAATTCAAGCAATCTGGCTCCAGACCATGCATCCCTAAACCATATTTTTTCCAGTGTAGACACAACATACTCTGAATAAATATCAAGAGATGTAAATGGATATACAGTATTAGGGAAAAAACAAATATGTATCTGTTTAAAAGTATACACAGAAAAGTGATGATATTGGATGTCTTTTGGGTTGGCACTTGAACAAATGAGCGCTACTGGTACTGGGAAAGCTTTACATGTGCATCCTTCTGAAATTTAAATTTTGAAATATGTAGATGTATTAACTTCACAAAAATGGATAAAGAAATCTTTAAAACTCATAGGAATTCAGTAGATTCTATCATCTTAACAAGTAAGTTAACCTTACATTAAAAATAAAAGCTGGAAACATCCTTGGGGAATTCAGCATGTTTTATTTTGCCAAGCCAATGATTTCATCAATATCCCATAAACTTTAGTGTAACAACTACATTTAGTTTGTTTTCTTACACAGAGTGAACATTCACCATTATGACATTTTCATCATGCTAAAATCTATTCATAAATGTACACTTTGGAAAAAGAGTGTATTTCTAGAAAATTTTATGTACAATACGAATGGAAAAGATACTAAGTCAGAGAACTGTCAAACTACACAAAATAAAACCAATCAACCACCAACAGTGTACATTAAGAGCATTTTTGAAAAAAGTTTTCTTTTACATTCAGCAGAGTTACGTTCATGAAGAATTTCTACATTTTAAAAAGTAATAAAAGTATACACAATTTAATTATTGTGAAAATAGAATTAAATAGCACAAATATAGTATAAATCTAAATACCCATATTGTCTATCAGTTTGGGCTTATGTGAAACAAAGGGAACTGTGACTCTAAAACAATTTCACTTTTAACTTTGGACACAGAATAGATTGGCCATAAACACAGAAGATGATTTTGGCTTTACATTGACACATTTCCATGTAGAGGAGAAATGAAGTTTAATTATATCTTTTAATCGGGCAAACCATTATAATAAACTACTTTGGAAATTACTTTAAAGTTATACATATTTGGAACAACAGAGTTTTTTTAAAAAATGAAGTTTGGTGTTATGTTATGCATTTTAACTATTTTTGCCATATTGAGGCCTCCTCATATATTATCATATTTTACCACAATTTAAATAATGGATCATATTCTGATATTCTGATTAATGATCACATTCATTTTGACAATTTAGTTTTTGAACTTTTATACTATATAACTTAAAAAGGCCATAATCTACTTTAATTACCTTCATAGATTATTAAGTATAAATTAAATTTTTATACAATATTTGGATTAGGTAGGTGGTACAATATCTGTTTTAACCTAGAAGCATGAAAAAGTCTTAAAAAGTAAATTAAAAAGTAAAATCAGTGTTTTAAAAATATATATGAGAACATGAATAATTTTTTCACATTTTTTCATCTAATTTTCATTTGGAGAAAATAAATTTATTATGAAATTATTCTAATAAAATTATTCAAACACACACTTAGGTGATAATTATTTTGTTCATCACCAAACTTACTACATTTACACTTAGAGACCAGTGAACATATGTACCATTACCTTTGGAAAGAATGTCTCCTCATATTGTGTTTTTACTTTCTAGACATAACCAGCATCTTGCCATCACACTGAAAAGATCACAAATTACACAGTGTTGACTTAAATATTAGCATGACATCGAGACTGTTTTTAATAAAAGGGAGAATAAATCATTGAATTTGAGTACTGAAGTTGAAAACTAGCCACATTTGTTATAAATTCCTCTTTAAAAAGTAGTCTTTTCTACTTTGATTTTTTTGTTTTCTTGATTTCACCCCTCATATAGAAGTTTGATACTTCAAAATTTTTTTCTTCTTATATTATTTAATTTGTCACACAGACTAGGAAATAAGAGGAACATAATAACTAAACAGTGCAAGCTTAGATTCTTTGAGTCTAAAACCAATTAAATGTCTTTCAAAAAAAAAAAAGATAGTGCTTTTTTTTGGAAGGTGATAACATAAGAAAACCAAACTGCTTCACTGATATAACTTCCATCAAATACCTTCATGGGGTAGGTTATTGATTTTTATCTTCCCGAATAAGGAAACAAAGGTCAATAACAGATACCAGTAACAGATCATTTTACAATCTTAAAAAAAAAACACATTTCACTGGAACCATATAAATTCATCATTTTCTCTCTATGAATCACTCATGTTTTTATACAACTTTTAGAAGCCTCTTCCTTTTCTTTTCTATTTTTTTTGATAGCCATTCTATCATATGCATTTATGACTTTTACTATGTAAAAGCTGTGAATTTGAAACTTGTCTTCATATATAAAATAATTGACAATTAGAAATCTAAAGCCCCAAAGCAGGAAAGGAGTACCACAGGGATATGGCCCTCATTCAGTTGAGGGGTGCAACATTCTAGTTTTGTAGCCACCATATCAATTTTGAAGAAAAGGTGAATAAAGATATAAATAAAATCTGGGTTAAGTTAAATATTTATATGCACCATGAGGACCATGACATGTCTAGTGCTAGTCACTATCATACAAGAAAATGCATGCTCATTTCAGTTCATGTAAAACTCACTTTAGGAGAGACTAACCACCTTTTTCAGTAATTCCCATCATTAAAGCACAAGATTCTTTGCTCAAAATTTGATCATTGAAGAGAGAGCATTTGTTAATAGAAGCATAAAACCCACATAAGAAAACATTATGACTCTGGCAACTGATTCCTCCTGTTTCTACTTTTCCGGCTATTGATGAGAGCCTTTAACTTGCCATAGTCCCCTCTCATTTTCTGTGATTCATCCCCCTGCTGATGTTGCTGCCGAGTGTCTTTGCAGTACTGGTTAATCATCTGCATTTCTGAGTGGCTGAAGGCTCCCATGATGTCCTTTGGGTGGAAGGGTAAAGCCCTCACAGAGCTGGCCCAAGTCCATGGGGACCATTTGTCTGACACAACAGCCACCATTTCTGAATCTAAAACTTTGAAGTTGATCTTGGCTATGGTCTGCTTGAAACTATTTTCTGTAGCAATGCAGTGATAAAGTCCTTGGTCAGAACCCTGAACAGAGCGGATCAGGAGTCCCTGTGAAGTGGCTATGATTCGTTCATTCAGCTTAACCTGAAAGAAAGAGACGTTAAAGTTACTGAAACTGAACCTTATATTTCCTTAGATTATGACCAACATATACAGTATAGTCTCAACTTTCACAGATTTGGGGGAAAAGTACTGATTACCGCTTAACATCCTTCTCAGCGGACACAAAATTTTGGTTTCACGGCCTTTAAAAAAAAAAAAAACACACGGGAGATCTTATCACATTGTCACAGGAGTATTGAATCTAATAAAGAGAGGGTAAAGATATTATCCACATTGTCAAAAATAGCTTAAAGTGCTTTACCCTGGCTAGAAGTTTCTCCGTATATGAGCACAAAATTGTGGTTGCCTTTGAAATTGGAATCACAGTCAAGATATATAAGTCAAACTCATAAATGCTTTAAAATATCTATTCCATCCTGGTGTTCTAGTCTTCACTAGCAAAAACATGAAGCCACAATTAAAAGGTGAATGTTATCTTTCTGTTTTAATGAATTAATGTTCTTCTAAATAAAAAATACATAAGCAGAGGCAGAATTTTGAACATTTTCAAGGGCCTTTTCCAATTATCCCACAATAAACAATGTCTAAAAATTAGCTGGAATGTCATCATCCTTTAAGTCCTCTATGTGATTTTACTTTACAAGGAAAGGTATTAAAAAGCTATGAATTAATATTTAATTACTTTATAGGCTTTACTGGAAAAAAAAGACTGTTTACTGGGTATCAGCTAAATGCCTGAAACCTTCCTTACAGTTCCACCTATAGTATTGCCAACTGATAGATAAAAACCTAATTGGTAAGAAGTTCTTTGACATGTATACTCCAGAATACTCTTTCATTGAAGAAACAAAAAATTTGACCAAAATCAAAATTAGATAATGCATGCTATATGTTTTCCTAAATGATAAAGTTCTGTGCAAACAGACATTACTCATAATATCTAAATCAAAGATCAACTGGTTTGTGCACAAAAAAGCACAAAAAGGCAAGTAGAGTACTAAAAGACATAATAGGACAGAACTAGAAAAGAGAGAATCACTTGAAGGAAGGAAACAGAATTTTGACATTAATTAAATTTACTAAGTTTAAGTATTCCTCAAAAACAAATAATGTACAAATACATTCAGAAACTAAAGAAAAAAATTTACCCTATTTGTGCAAAATTGGGAAAATATTTTGAGTTCAATATGGTAAACCCATTAAATATGTATATAATATTTGGTGCAATTTTATTTTAGGAATTTATCTAGAATATATACTCTCCCATGTGTGCAGGTATTTTAGATAAAGGGAAAACAAGAAATTACCTAATAAGTAAATGGCTTAAAAAAAAAAAAACCACCTCAGGTATATTTATACAGTGGAATACTATGTAGCCAGGAAATAGAAGGTAGAATCATATGTATTGATATTGAAGTGGGGTCTGTGTGTTTGTGTGGAGGGGAGGAAAACTATAGAACATATTTGGAGGAATATATAACTCTTGGTAACCTTCCTCTGGGCAGTGGGAATAAGAACTGAATAAGTATTCCATAAGTATTAGTATTATTCAATAGATATTAAAAGTGGGAATAAGAATTGAAGTGGAGGAGGGCTTTCAGTTTTGACTTTACGCTACTTAGTGTGAACTATTTGCCTTTGCTCTGTGAGCTTTTATCATTTGTCTTACTTAAAAAAATGGTTAATATTTACACAGTAATATCTGAGAAGCATATGTTTTCTTAAAATAGAAAGGATTAGGATAAATTTAGTAAAATATTAATAGTTTAAGCATAAGTAAAATTGTACTCTGCCTAAATTCTGAACAAAACAGACTTTCCTACCTGTGTTAAGGTTAATGTTATTGCAATATTAAATTATTACATTCTTATGTCATTGAGATTGGAAAAAAGTCAAAATAGTAATATTTGAGCCTCCATATTCTTGAGCATTCTGAAATGGAACTTAAGAAATATTATGAGAGAATAAATCCTTAACACATTCCATTTAAAATTTCACTATTAATTTCTATGGCATATACCAAACATATGTATATTTTTAAATCATAGAAGTTATATTCACTAGTATATTATTCTACTGAATAAAAGAAAATTACATTATACATATTAGTTGATCCCTGTTTATCATTTACCCAGTACACACACACACACACACACACACACACACACACACACACACACATTTAATTTAATTTTCATTATTAAAGTATTTCTAAAACTATTGTTAGCATCATAGACTTTAGAAGAATGATGGGGCTCTGATGTCCATCTAACTCATCTTTCCCCCACATAATTAAATTACCTCCTCCAAGTAGTCATCTGCTTATGGTTTAATATTCCAGTAACGAGGGACACACAATTTCCTAAACAGCTCATAACATCTTTGGGTGGAAAAGTCTGAGAGTCAGAAAGTATTTTTGCATATAAAACCAACATTTATTTCAGTAACGCTGATGCAGTATCTGTGTTCTACAGCTTACTGTAGAACATTAATGTTTCAATGAATGAGTGTTCTTCTAAATAAAAAATACAAAATAAAGTGATGCAGAAGGCTCCACTTTCCCCTGGGCTCTATCAGACTTCACAATGCAGGAATAGTGGTATATTAGGCTTCCCTAAGGCTACATACACACATATATATTTTTAACTTTTCATTTGTCAGGACAACATGACATCAATATTATGAAATTCATTGTTTACAATATACCACCCTATGTCATTTTACAATGTCTCCCTTATTAAGGAAAAAACCCCAGCTCTTTCCAATCTATGAAAAGTTTCAGTATGTGTCTTTTTATTTGAAAATCTAAAGACTTTTTCCAAATCACTAAATAAAGGCAACAGTCCCATAAACAATGATTCCATATATTACTTAACCAAAGCACAAGAGTTATGAATAATAAAGCAATGGAAACAGATTACCACACAGCAGAAAAACGCTACTTGTCATGAAGGTTATAGTTCAGTGTAGTTTCTTGATGAGGAAAATTGAACTTTTCAAAATAGCCCCCTTTTATCTTGTGAAGCACACAAAGGTGCTGTTGTGTGAAAACTTGGCTTCTGGATTTGCACACATCTTGTTTCTTTTATGAACGTTTCCTCACATCAATACCACCGTCTTAGTGCCCAAGCTCTTCTTTCAATCACCATGTTACAGAGGTGAGCAGGCAGAGAGAATTTCTAATTAATCCATCAATTCTTAGGACAAAGGATTTTAAGGAAAGTGACGCTTGTCAACCCAAAGACTTAAAAGATGATCATGTGCCTTTCCTTGTTCCTTTGATCTGCACCTCACCGAGGGACAGTGATTTAATGTTCTTTTCGAGGCTCTGATGGATTGCTGCTGTGCTGCTTTACTTACCTCTTTCCTCCTGTCTTTGTCTTTCTGTAGCAGCCACTTGATAGATGCCTGTGGAGACTTGGGGGCACACTCCAGAAAAGTGGTGTTATTTTTTACTCCATACTGAACAATTTCAGCTGCATTTCTGTATGCTAACAGGCAAAAATAAAAGGCGAGAAAGAGAAAGAAAGAATACAACTGAATTTAGAGCATATTCTCCTGTAAAAATGCTACATAAATGTTTATTTTTAAAGAAAATCATGAACTATGGCAGCCAGCAAAAAGCAGTGGCAATCATTTAACAAGCAAAGTAGGATACATTGTTTACCTGTTTTATTTTTGTAAAGGGAAGGAAAGGCTGTGAATTAAGGCAATATGGATAAGAGAATCAGGGTTATTCAATAATTACTCTCCACCAAGGATTATTCTTAATATTAGTTTGTTAACTTAATGACTACAATATTCCTGCCAGATTTTTTCAGCTTTTCACAGCTGAGCAAACTGAGGCTGTGAGTTATGAGGAAATATACTTTAGTGAATGTGCCAGTCATTACCGAAGCTAGGTTTATCCCATTCCTAAAGTTCATACTCAGTGTCCTATAGAGTAAATAGGTAAGCACTGCAAAGGGCAGAAAGTAAGTCTTGGTGGAATGTAGTCATTGAGAACACTGTCTTTGCAATCAGAGGAACATAGGGTGAAATCCTGACCTTACCACTACTGGCTATAACCTTAGAAAAGTTACTTGATGTCTCTGTGTTTTAGTTTCACTCATCTCTAAAACATCGATTATAGCATTTTTATATAGGTTTCTCAATAAAAGTATTAAATTAGGCAAATCATTTTGTATTGCCATGTCGTAGCTTAGACATGTACAGAATCCTCACCAATAAAAGCAGGAATAATAATAGACTCTAGTATGATTTCTTGAGCACTGAGTGAGATAATCATAAAGAAAGCACTTAGCTCAGGTTCTGACCCGAAGTCAGCATCAATATTTGTCTGATGTTACCTCCACTGCCATTATTCTTACCACTATGACAACTACTACTATTCATGGGACTGATACACTTTTATAAAATAGCAAATAGAGAAATGGTAACTTGAACCTCAACTAGATGTATGGAGGAAGTAAGCAAAATCTGTCTTAATTTGCTCTTTGCAGTTAGACTAGTTGGTAAAAAGAACATCACTTTTTACTAAAGGAAAGTGCAGGTTGAATAGCAGATTCAAAAGGATTAGAAATAGGAGTCTCACTGTTAATTTTTGATACAGCACATCTGTAGCACTTTGGTGAGTCACAAGGAAGGTCTGCTTGGAAATACTTCTATTCGGTGGTATAGTGGCAGGTAAAGTATTGTAACATGGTAACTCCATGTCAGAATGGCAAGGAAGGAATTCGTATAATTGATAGACATAAGGCAGCATTGTCAACAGGCACTGTAGTACATCCACGTTCATGGCAGAACTATTCACTTAGCCAAAAGATGGAAGAAAACCAAGTGTCCAGTGGTAGATGAATGGATAAACAAAGTGTGGCATACATATATCCATACATATACACATACACTATATATATGCACACATGAAAAAATATAATTCAGCCTTAAACATGAGAAAATTGGGACATATGTTACAGTATGAATGGACCTTGAAGACTAGCCAGTCACAAAAGGACAAATATTGTATAGTTCCACTTATATACAGTATCTAGAGTACCTGAATTCATGAGAAATTCATATAAAAGTAGAGTGGTGGTTTCTAAGGGCTGAGGGAAGAGGGAATGGTTAGGTGGTATTTAATGGGGATAGTTTCAGTTGGGGAAGATGAGAAATAACCAAATATGCTGGCAGTATGTTTCACAACAATGTAAATATACTTAATGCCACAGAACCATAGACTTTAAAATGGTTAAAATAGTAAAGTTTATGTTATGTACATTTACTGCAGTAAAAAAGTGCTGCTCTAAGGGTTCTTCAGTGGTAAATCTTTAAAAGCAAAGTAACTTTTCTTCAGAAAGAAAATAGTAGCTAAGTAAACCTGTAATCATAATCTGTGTGAAGACCTACCAGCTAACATACTTGAAGTGCATGTGTTCCCAGACATTTGTTTTTCACAATTCTCAGTATGCATACAAAAAGCATTTAATTTTTAATTACCATACATGAATACTCCAAATTTTTATAGTAAATATTCCTTGGAAATGAAAGGCTTGAATCTATGACAATATTTCCCCTCACTGAAAGGTGATGTGGGGCATTGCTACTGTTAACTGAGATTGGCCATTGCTCACTTTTAATACCTTTTAGGTTAAATCCTCTGCATTGAGTCAGCGGGTTTCCATGTCTCACATCCTGTCTTCGGCTCCTCCTGTAAGTGCAGAAATACATAAAAGTGACTGAGAATTATCACTGCCAATTATACCACTGTAATTTTAAACTTTGCGACCTTTTTATTACTAAGCTTTCATAAAAATTTTAAAAAAGAGCTCTGATTGATATAGCTATCCCACATTTCTTATTCAATTCACCAACGATGGGGAGGTACTTACCTTTGCTTTTCAATCTGAATAAGTTTTCCTATCTACCATTCATGATGGAATAGCTATGAATCTCCTATTACATGCATATGCTGAGTAAATACTACAGTCTCTAATTAATAGTGTAAATTTTTAGTTTAGAGAAATGTAGCCTAAATTTTCTAAAATCATAACTCCAAAGTATAAACTCACTAGCATTTCTCTTTTTAGAATAATTTGTCTTAAACAAACATACTTGTTTCTTACAAAAGTCAATGTTTTCTGTTTCTAGATATAGTAAAACTTTACTGAAACAAGTGATAGAGATAAAAAATAAGGACTTTTAATAAAAAGTTAATTTCATTTACTAGAATAAGCATGTTGTCCTCAACATTTTATTTTAAAAATTTCAAGTCTACAGAAAAGTAGATATATGGGTAAAATGACCACTGGTATACCTAGATTCACAAATTGTTATATTTTGCCACATTAATGTCTTTCTCTCTCACATGCAAGTATATATCATGTATAGACTATGGATCCACACCTAGGAAAGCATTTAGAAAATTAATTCTAGACATGAAAATGTTTCACCAATAAGTGCTTTAGCATGTATTTTTCAACAACAAGTAATCTTTCAACATAATATCATTATCATACTAAATATATTGATATTAACAATATAATTGAATGCATATTCTACATTAAAATTTTTCTAGTTGTTCCCCAAATCTCTCTTATGGATTTTAAGATAACCAGGTTCCAATCAAGGTTCATTCTTTATATTTAGTTGTTATGTATTATTAGCTTAAGCATTTCAAAAATTTAGCTACATTGTTTGCAAACTGGTCATTATTTAAATAAATGTTTTAAGTTGTACTCAAATTGTTTAGTTTCCTGAGTCTTACATTCACTAAGTACTTTACTTTCAATGGTTTCATATAGTCTAAGAAATCAAAGAGCAACTGGAATCCTCTGAGCGAGGCATCAAACATGGCTAATAGTCAGAAGAGGCCAGTGGCTCATGCCTATAAGCACTTAGGGAGGCCAAGGTGGGTGGATTATGAGGTTTGGAGTTTGAGACACGCCTGGCCAACATAGTGAAACCCTGTCTCTACTAAAAATAGCCCCAGCTGCTTTGGAGGCTTAGACAGGAGAACTGATTGAACCCTTGTGTGAAGAGTGTGGTGAGCAGAGATAGCGTCACTGCACTCCAGCCTGGGCAACAGAGTGAGACTCCGTCCCACCTCCACGAAAAAAGAAAAAAAAAGTCAGAAGAAGGTGACTCTTTAAATATTGTGAATACCAGCCTAAATTGGTTGCTTACTATCAACACTGGGAAGTATAGGTGAGTGAGCATATCACTTAATTGGGTTTAATGCTAAGTCTTTCTTAATACTTTTAAAGACAAATGAAAATATTCAGCAGGAACAGAAATATTAAAATCACACAGTGGTTATTAAACTTACAAACAAAAGTTAATCTTGAAGTCACTGATAGTGAAAAAAAAAGCTCATTTTCCAGCTAAAGAAAACAGTCACTACTTCATGTACACAATGGATTGTATATATCTATTTATGGTAGAATAGGTATAAAATTGTATGCTACTTAAGTATTCCTTTCCAAAAAAAGTCACATGATCCTTACCAATTATATATTTCTGTACATACACAAACACAAAACAGTGGAAGTGTTAGCCACTTTTATCTCAGGAAATATAATTATTATGGCTCTATATTCTAGAATATCTCCCATATCAAGTTTTTACTGCATAATATTTGCTATATTTTGAAGTCCAGCATTATTTTACTACAGCCAACTTCTAGTATATATTATATGAGCATCATGAGAAAGTTTTAAGCCATCTAGGCAGGCAATTATCATTCACAATGGTTAAATTTATTGTCCTGTGATCAACATTATATAATAGTTTACTCATATATACAAACTCTCAAGCTGGGCAATCTCAATTTGCAATATCACATAGCTTCTAGGCATTCAAGTACTAAAGAAACATTGTTATGGCTTAGCTTACAACATGAGATCAGCAAGGCAGCCATCTGAGCCTTTTTTGTATAGATTCCCTCAAAGGCACTCACATAGCATCACAAAAAACACGCTGGTAGGCAGAATAATATTGTATTGCAAGTAGGATTTGGAATTTGGTTCAAGTTTCCCATGTTTCATCTATAATAGTACATTCTTTTGGATAAGCAATGAAATAATTTTTTATAGAAAATATATTTATTTGAAAATTGAGCTGATTATCTTGTCTTAACTTTTCTAACTACTTGTCTGAATCCAGAACAAATAATGTTAGAGACTATACTGCAATATTTGATACAAATCCACAAATATTTAAGATACTTGAGAGTGAAAATGGAAAAATAAATGCTTTCACTGTTTACTATCCTATAGTTTTGTCTTTTTTTTTTTTGACAGAGATTTTCTCTTGTTGCCCAGGCTGGAGTGCAATGGCGTGATCTCAGCTCGCTGCAACCTCTGCCTCCTGGGTTCAAGAAATTCTCCTATTTCAGTTCCTGAGTGCTGGGATTACAAGCATGCACCAACACACTCGGCTAATTGTGTGCTTTTAGTAGAAACAGGGTTCCTCCATGTTGATCAGGCTGGTCTTGAACTCCCAACTTCAAGTAATCTGCCCACCTTGGCCTCCCAAAGTGTTGGGATTACAGGCGTGAGCCACTGCACCCAGCCTTTTAACTAGTTTTTTTTTTATTTAAAGGGAGACTATTGAGTCAATGATATTTAACAAGTCTATTATGGCAAAGTAGGGATTCCACCAATTTCCAAGTATAACTATATTTCTCTGTTTGTATAAAAGAAAATAGTTTTTTGCTTTTTATTTCTATGAAATCCTCTAAGTCATCTTGTATTTTGCTTACAGAGTACTATCAGCACAAAACTAAGTAAATTAACACTATTCAAGAAAATAAATGTGGAAAATACTCCATTACCTTCAAAGGAAAATAAAAAATGCACATGGGAATTTACAAAATAGTTAATTCATTCAGCAATGTGTTTTCCATTTACTGTAAGTATGTGCTTAACTAAGTTAGGACATAATTTGGAGAATGGAAATACTATAAATATTTTTAGTGAAACTTCCAATATGCTAGTCAAAGATAGACAGACACGGGTAGGCACAGACATATTTTTATATATGTAGCATTTTTATGCTTTTCATTCATGATAGAATTAAGGCAATGCTAATCAAGATAGCTATCGTTTTTTTTTTTTTTTAGACAGAGTCTCGTTCTGTCTACCAGGATGGAGTGCAGTGGTGCAATCTCAGCTTACTGCAATTTCCACCTTCTGGGTTCTAGTGATTCTCCTGCCTCAGCTTCCTGAGTATCTGTGATTACAGATACCTGCCACTATGCCTGGCTAATCTTTTTTGTATTTTTAGTAGAGTTAGGGTTTTGCCATGTTGGCCAGGCTGGTCTCAGACTTCTGGCCTCAAATGATCTGCCCACCTTGGCCTCCCAAAGTGCTTGAACTATAGGCGTGAGTCACTGCACCCAGCTAAGATAGCACTTTGAATAGTTACTGCTTTCCTTCTTGACCCATTATTTATGGTTTAATATCAGGCATGATATTGTAAATGCAAAGAACTGCATGAGGCTCCTTTATTAAAAAAAAGTGTAAAGGCCGGGTGCAGTGGCTCAAGCCTGTAATCCCAACACTTTGGGAGGCCGAGGCGGGTGGATCATGAGGTCAAGAGATTGAGACCATCCTGGCCAACATGGTGAAACCCTGTCTCTACTAAAAATACAAAAATTAGCTGGGCATGGTGGTGTACACCTGTAGTCCCAGCTACTCGGGAGGCTGAGACAGGAGAATTGCTTGAACCCGGGAGGCAGAGGTTGCAGTGAGCCGAGATTATGCCACCGCACTCCAGTCTGGCACTTGGCGACAAAGTGAGACTCTGTCTCAAAAAAAAAAAAAAAAGTTTAATTAAAATTATAATTTGTGGTGGTAGAATGACAATGTAAAATCTATGTTTAAGCACCCATCTTAGAAAGGATACCCGGTATTGTAATAGTTGGGAAAACATACAAACAAATTAGCTAGCCCATATTCAGCAGAAACTTCTAAAACGTTTAAAAAAACCTGTAATATGCAATGGCAATCTATATACAGTATGGAATTTTACTTGAGAAATATTATTTGTTTACTACATAAAAATGCTTGTTGGTCAAAACCAGTCTTTGCAGAGAAAGCATACTGATGTCCACTTCCCTTACATTATATCATAACTGGTATACCAATACAGCTCTAGTAAGATTCCATTTATATAGTCCCCATATCCATTTCTTCCTTGGAAAGTATAGTGCTTCAGCTTCCTTCAGCACTAAATCTGCTGAATAGTTTGAAGATTATGCTGCAGGTGTTAGAGATGCAAATTTTTAGATTTTCTTACCAAGTAAATAGTATCATCACCTTACTAAGAATTATGGTAATTTAACAAATTGCTACTATCATATTTGGCAGTGAAAAACAAGTATGGTTGAAACAACTGTGGCTACAAAAATCACTTTTTATGTAAAATTACATTTGAAATTTTCCTCCCTCACAACTGTGTGTCCAGGTTTAGGCCTCCAGCCTCATACTAAGATGGAAGATCACAGGGTAATGATGTCCAGAAATTCTAGGTAGAAATCAAAAGACATCAGGGACCTCCTTGCTAGAGCCTAAATTAACATGGAGGGACAGAGTCTTGGAACACATCTACGAGACTCCCGGATTAAAGAGTGGGAGTTCTCAGCTGGGCATGGTGGCTCACGCCTGTAATCCAGCACTTTGGGAGGCAGAGGTGGGTGGATCGCAAGGTCAGGAGTTCAAGACCAGCCTGGAGTGGTGGTGCGCACCTCTAATCCCAGCTACTTAGGAGACTGAGGCAGAAGAATTGCTTGAACTCAGCAGGCAGAGGCTGCAGTGAGCCGAGATCACACCACTGTATTCCAGCATGGGCGACAGAGCAAGACTCTGTCTCAAAAAAAGAAAAAAGAGTGGGACTTCTCTTTCTATCTCATGTCATTAATTATGGAAGACTCCCAAATGATCCAGCTCAGGCTACTCCTTTCTACTCCAGATTCTTATTTCTAACTGCTTAGTCAATATCCCTGTGTGAATATCTTACAGATATCATTAACATAACATCCTCTTTCTCCCCACAAACCTGCTCCTTTCACAGTCTTTTCTCTCTCAGGAAGTGACATTGACATAAATCCTAATGTTCAGTTCTGAGAACTTGGATCATTTTTGACTCCTCTATTTCTCGAACCACCCACATCCAAATACATCAATACATTCTGTAAGCTCTGTCAAGCATCAGATCATTTTTTTTTCCACCTCTACCACTATTGTCCCCATGCAAGCCACCATTATATCTCCCCTGGATGATGAGAGTACCCTCCTGCCATGTAGCTTCTGCCACCCCCTCCCCTGTGCCTCCAACCTCTTCCTAACCCAGAGCTTCAGTGCAAACCAAATCCAGCCAGTGATCTTTTGAAACCAGAAGTCAAATAATATCATTCTCATGCACAAAACTCCTCAGCTGTTTTCCATTTCACTTTAAATAAGAAACTTTCAATTACCTACAAAATCTGACATCATGTGGCATTCTGACTTCATTTCTTCCTATCCTTTCTTTTTCTCATTTCAGTGCAGCCTCGTTAGCTTTAGAGCTGTTTCTTGAACAATCCTGGAACACCCCAGTATTAGAGATTTCTGGTCCCTCTTCCTGGAATGTTATTCTGCCAGGTAATGCCTTCGTGCCATTCCACATCAAGTCCTTGCTCATATAGTATGTCCGCAGTAAGGCCCTCCCTGATACCCATTTAACATCGCAACCTTCTGCTTACCACGTATTGTACCAACCTTCTTTGCCCTTTTACAATTCACAGATCGTGTTATTATTTGATATACCAGAGGTTTTCCTTATTTATTTATTATCATCTTTTCTCTTTAGAATGCATTATTCCTGAAGACAGAGATTTTTGTCTTTTTTCCTGTTATATGGCTAGCTTCTAAAACAATGCCTGGAAAATATATTTCCAGTGGAAATTATTTGTTGAACTAATGAATAAGAGGATCAGAATACTTTTGATACACAAAAGTGCTAGGGTTGTTACAATCTGTCAGGGTCCTCAAAGGAATGTAGAGAATACAAACCATAAAGCACCATCACCCCAGTGCTTTATTTTAAAGATCACAGGTGCTCATGGCTGCTACTACTATTTGCTGCCCCTGCTAAGCCTAATTTTTAAAGGTTATACCCCTGCCACCCTCATGACCCACGTTACTGTATGACTGAAAATAGCGAGAGTCTTGGCTGACTCTGAATTCTGCATATTCCTTTTCAATTTCTCTACTCGCGGTTCCTTCCAACTTGGTACAAATTGATGCAGTTTCCTGCCTAAGTTTTTACTTGCACAAAAAGCACCCTGCCTCAGACTACCTTTCTTTCTTAACCTAACCAGCAATCATTCACTCACCACTCCACAGATAAAATATGGCCATCAAGGTTTTGAAAGCAAATCAAGGTATCCATACTGAAATAATACTTTTGTAGCTTGAACTAGAACCAGTGTTATAATTGGTTGCAAGATAATTAAGCAATGTAGAGAAATCCTAAGAAGGTGGGTGTTAAGGATACACTAAAGTGTATAAAATAAAAAAGACATAAGTTAGGTGATGTAAAAAATTTAAAAAGCTAAATGCTACTTGAAATATTTGATGGGTCCTAGGGGAGTAGGTGTTACAGTGGAGCTTTGAAAGGAGAAAGGAATTCTTCCAAAGTACTGTACTCTGGACTTATCATATCTGTGGGAATTTCAAGTTATAACGCATTGCCATTTTCTTCATTCAAAGACTAGGTATGGTGCTAAATAGAGCTTCCACTTTTAATGTAATTTAAAAAAAAACAGCAATAGAACTAACTCTAAACATGTGAAAGACTTCTGTATTGTCTGGTGTCCTACATTTGGATATTGAGCTGAGTGTTTTGTGCTCACCGCTTCCCAGTTGGGTAGAATCTGGAGCAGGAATGGCCATCCCAGGCGCAGTAAGGGTCCCGTGCCAGGCAGCAGTCAGCACAGGCTGCACCATAGATGTGGCAGCGATGAAGAGACACTTGGGAAATCCCTTCATTGGAACTCAAATACAACTGTTGCTATTAAAGGAATGAAGATGATTTATTTCAGATGTGGAAGTTAAAGGACAGCTTTCAGCAGGAATACATTATAATATATGCCCACAAACCCTTGGATTCATTCTGGAACTGACTAAAACGTGAAGCAAAGTACAGAAGGGTATAAAGCCAAAATAAATAGAATTTTCCTACATTTATATGCCTATAACATTACCACTTTCCTGTTAAAAACGAAAGCTCAAAGCACCTTATAGAATGGTAATGTGTTTTAGACATTGGGATTCATTGTTCTTTCAGATTTGAGCTAATATATTACAGATTTAAGTTATAATGTTTTCTTTTTTTCTTTGAATGCTGTCTCTTAACAAAGCACAAGGAAGCATTCTTATTTTTCATGTATGACAATACATTACTTTGTAAATTTGAGAAAGTCTGGTTTAAAATAAAGGGTATTTTAAGTTTAGAAAGAAAAAATAGTAAATAGTAAGTACTGGATAAAATAAAAAAGAACATTTTGGTCACATGCCTTTGTAAGTGTCATGTTACTCATTAAAACTATCTAAATATAATTATTTAGAAGAATATCAGTATTTATATTTAAACATGTCTTAAAATTCTGCTTGATCCAGTGATCTTCATCATCCTAAAGATGTCATGAATGGAGATTTCATCCTTTTTCAATTGTAGGATGTCTACTGTTTCTAAGAAAATGGTTTGAATCCTTTAACTGTGCATCACATGGTTCTCAGGCATTGAAGGAATGAATTTCTCATTGACACTGCTTACTTTCCAAAGTACTTATATAATTCAAGTTAGCACAGAATCTGTAAGCTGGTACTTGAATAGATGTGGATGTATGGGTGTGTGCATACTCCTCCATATACACATACATGCATATATGCATACATATACATTTAAAAATTAAACCTCTGGAGACACCATGGGTCCAACAGGCTCTGAAGCTCTACAGCCAGACTTCCTAGATTCAAATCTCAGCTCAGCTACAAATCTGCTGTATTAACTTTTCTGAATCACAGCTTCCTCATTATTAAAATTAAGATAACATAGCACTTACCATATAGAGTTTTTGTAAAAAAATAAGTGTAAGTGGTTCCTCCACATAAAATGCTTGAAATAGTTTCTGGCTCATAAGTTGCTCAATGAATGTTAATTGATGGTAATAGTACAGTAAAATATCAAACTATCAATATTAAGTTTTCAATTCTAATTTGAATTGAATTGAGATTTGAATCACATCTCACTCTATTATATCTAATATAATGATTTTATTCACATCGATTGACTTTTCAGAAATTGTGCTGAAATTGATCTCCAGTTGAAACATTCAAACTATAAGAAAACAGCTGCATGTTCTCGCAATAACCATTTGTCTAGGCACATTTGAAATAAATGTTTATTGAGTAAGTTAGTGAATAATACAGTAAATTTTTCAGTTTCATTAAAATACTTTCAGGATATCAGTATATTTGATGGTAGGACACAGGTAGTTCCCTTCTAGATAATATAATTTTTATTAATCCTACTATTTTCTGTTAGATGGATAATATAATAAAATGGGAAAAAATAAAATAATAAGATGAGAAACACTGATAAATGTATTTAAATACACATAAATGTCATTAACTATTTGTAGTCCTCTTGCACTGAAAAAATGATGCCATATGCAGTTGTACAAATGATTTCCAAAAAGTCAAACAACTATCTTTGCCTTGAATCTCATTGTTTTAATGAGACATTTTAAATGACCTACAATATAAGATGTTGAAGACAGATGAAATACATAAACTAAATATAGTTAAAACTTGTATACAGGATTACTCTGCCACACAAATGGCTTTGTGTCCATTTTGAATCTTGCCCTGATACTTTCTCTTTCCATTAACTACTATAAACAAAGGGCTTCCCTGCTAACTTCAAAGACAATTCTGACTTGAGATCTGCTCCCTAGGACATTAGACAAAATGACGAATGGCTTCTCGTTACTTGGGAAAATGTTTGTTATGCACCATATAAACATTTTTACAGATGAGATCGTTAGCTCCATTGTATCTTATTTATTTTCACTCATAAAATTCAGTGAAGTGAAAAGAGTGTAAGACTGACTATGAAATACTATTTCATCTGTAACAAACCAAATATGGTGAAGAGCACCAAAAATTACATAATCAGTTGTGCTAACACATAAAACCTTTATTGTGTATTCCAAGAAAAATAGGTCTCAGGCTTTTACAGATAGCACTTACTGAGGACCCTCTTTATTCTAGGTAATTTATATAAATAAACTTGTTTGTAAGAAAAGCATTACCTTACACATTTAGAAATTTTGGTTAGAGACGTTACATGATTTGTTCATACTTTGTGGTCAGATTGGGATGCAAACGCATGTCAAGCCTATTTGGAAGCCTATTCCATTGTGACTGTGTTACTCTGTACCATAAAATATTTTTTTTAAAATAATACCTTTTGGTATTGGAGAAGTACACGGTTTGCTCATGTATATGCTGGAATTGTACATTTTATTTCCATGATCATTGTATATTTGCATGTGTAAGCACAGATCAGGCAATTAATTTGAAGATTTCAATTATAGTCTAGTATTACTTTTCCAAATCCTGATTTGAGACTTTCCTTTTTTCTGACATGTTTAAATCCTAGGTAATAATATTTCCTTAAAAATAAGCATAAAAGAATGCACTGCACGTTTCAAACATGTGACAACAGCAGGAACTTAAGAGAGGATTGATTACTCGTTCCAAGCCCCTAAGAATGTTGTGCTGTTATAGAGTAGCCCAAACTTTATGCTAAATCCTTCTCTTGGAAAGATTGTTTTTATTTTAATTGGCTTCACACACCGTAATATTTGAGAACATTAGATATACAAAATGTTGGAATATCTTCCTGTATATATGTTCTGCTCTGACAAAAATAAACCTATTTGGTCTTTCACTAATAGCTAGTAAGTTCTACATTAAAATTAAAGGTGATTTTTGCGGTATACTTTAGGCAGTAATATTTATTTTGTTAGTATAAGAACTAATTATTCAGAATTTATAAAATATAATTTTTCATAACAAAACATTTTGATAAAGAGCATAAAAATCGCTTAGTTTTTACCTTTTTAGATGAAATTTTCATTACTGTTATAGGAGAATGATTCTAAAAAATTAGAAAACACCATGTTAGTTGCTCGAATATTCCTTAAAATTATTTTACATTCATTATGTTTCTATTAAATCTTAATAAATCATTTTTCTTTATATATAAATCTACTTTAAAAGCACTTGTCATATAAAGTACATTTGCATATACTTGTATATAAAGTACACTTCCTCTTTGGAAACTAAGGAGAGAGTTGCTACACAGATATATACCTAAACTAAAAAAAGAATAGTCATTAAAACAACAGAGGCATTAGAACAAAAATAAAAATTTGAGAAGGGAATTTTTAGAATATTGAATCCAACGAATAACTCAGAATTGGATCCATGCACTCAGGTGGAGGAGGCTGAGGAATGGTACAGCATCTAATTCCTCCACAACACAAGCACTCTGCATAAGACACTATTCACCTGCCAGTGCCGTTTTGGAAAGACCATACATGAGGCTGAATCATACTAGTTAACACTCATTGTTGCAAACAAAACATATGGTTAGAAAGGTCTTTTGATAAAATGTGAACATAAGAATTTTCTGGAATAGTAATGCTTTTGCAAATTATTCATTTCTTTACTTCTTAAAAATTATTAGTTACTTTTAATGATAAAAAATTAGACTTCTGGCAGTTGCAGTGGCTCATGCCTGTAATCCCAGCACTTTGGGAGGTTGAGGCAGGTGGACCACCTGAGGTCAGGAGTTCAAGACTAGCCTGGCTAAAATGGCTAAAATGGCAAAACCTTGTCTCTACTAAAAATACAAAATTAGCTGGGTGTGGTAGCGCATGCCTGTAATCCCAGCTACTTGGGAGGCTGAGATGGGAATCACTTGAACCCAGGAAGCGGAGGCTGCAGTGAGTCAAGATCATGCCATTACACTCCATTTAAAAAAAAAATTAGACTTCTGGTAAAGTGATTGAGATCCATGAGCTTCATTTAAAAACTCAAGTGGGAGCAAGCTCTCAAAATTAAATATATCTACAGTGATTTTGCTTTTAGGAGTTGCATGAATTTACTGACATTTAAAAAGGGAAAATAGTGATATCTTTAATTCTCCATTGCAACAATTTTTGATCATCCCTTATAAACACACACACACACACATACAAATGTTGCAACTTATAATCAGTTAGGTCGCTACTGGTAGTTATACTTCCAATTCTAGTTAAGCTCAAGGAAACCAGACTTACTGTCAAAAAATGTGGAACAAAGGACTAAAAGAAGAGATTATGGTCCTGCACTGTATGAAAACAAAGCTCCTGGTTTTTCAAAGTCACACTGAATTTTCTACAGTACATCAGTGTGACACTTAGCTAAGAAAACTTTTCCATTTAGATGCATTATTTCCTCACATGCTCATCACAGTATATCATACACACCCAATTATTTTAATCTCACCTCAGAAATGTGACACAAACACCATGCTGAAGACAGTAACAGTATTTGGTAACTGTGTCTCCTGACTTGGCCATATCAATCACTGGCACACGCAAGGGTAAGAAAGCTCAAACCTGTTTTGGTCTCTCTCGGGCTGACCTCCCCCACATGCATTCTGACTGACTCTATTTTTCCACTGAGAGTTTATACTTCATGATAACACCAGCATAACTCATATGACAGACCATAAGCAGTTAGCACGTGATCAAAATAACTCATGTTTCTTCCCATAACATGTATGTTTAGGTTTATGTCATGCTCACCTAATTAACATTTCCTGATAATCAAAAAGATATATTTCAGTATTAAAAATGAAGTGTTGCTATATGACATTTTTGCTGTCTCCAAGAATACTCCAGAATAAGGCACTTTATATATTTTAGCAAGTCAAGTTATCCCTACTGAGTTGAATTTAAAAAAAGTATGTTCTATATATGTTATTTTGGTTAATCTAGTGAAATAATCCCTTTATAAAACAAGGCATGAAGAAAGTACTTGTCTGAATATCATTAATGTCATTTTATGAGCACAATTTTAACACACCAATCACAAAGAACCTGTGCCAAAGTTAGTCTAGCATTAAAAATTATAAATTTAATAATGTAGTAGGAAACTGGCCAGAGTTCCTCAAATTTTTTATTTGATTCTATTTTATATTTCTTTACATTTAAAATTTATTACCTAAATCTAACCGTACTGCACCCTACTCACTTAATGTGCTTAAAAAGTCAGTATTTTTGGTGACCGTGGGAATGTCTATTAATGATTCAATACATTCCAAGTTCACTCAAATAAGCAAAGTGACTTGCTGGACTAGCAACAGTTTGCTACTGGGAGTTCTGAAGTGCTACTTTTACTCAGTCATAGGCTGACTCTGGTCTTTTGTTGTCTCTGGGCCATTGTTTCTTAATTGGTTTAGTTGGAAATAGAGGTCTGCAGCAGGATTAATTCCATGCCAAACTTTCTTTGCAATTATAATAGCTCCTCTGCTGCTCTTTACCCATCTTTCCAAATGCAGATAAAAAGCACCACTTGAACTACAGTGACTGACACTGTGAGCAGAGAAGGGCACAGCAGGACACAACAAATCCCCTCTCCTGGCTCACAGATACATAAAGAACAGGCACTCTGCCCTGACCAGGTGAGATCTTAAGGTGCTGAACTTCTCTTGTGTATCTTTTTTTTTCTTTTTTAATTTTTGCTGTGCTTTTTTCTGTTTTTATCCCAAATTCAAGGACAGGGAGAATAATACAATGAAATCTCAAGTTCTGACAGAACATGAAGTTCCGAGTGGTAAAGAGACAACATTTGTTTTATTTAACTAAAGTGACATTTGAATTAAAGGCAATAAAACGAGAGAAAACAAAGTTGTTTTTCTTGAAATTACTGGCTAAACAAATACGAGAAGCTTATCTAACAATCAATAATGTGAAAGTATTTGGGTTTCAGTGGTTTGTGAGGAGAATGATAAAAGCCCTTTCATGGCAAAATCTTCCAGACCTTGACAACTAGAGCTCATTTAAAAAAAAAAATGATGACCACAATTCTTCAAGTTGTGATGATAGCTTAAAAACAGAAAGAATCCTTTTATGTTAAGATCAATTGAAATGTAGGAAAATACTTTGCAAAAACATTTGTTCTATATTTCTTATTTTATCTGGTGTTTTCCTACCCTCAAAAATTCATAACATGCATTTATTTGATCTTTTATCAAATATAGTTTCCTCCCAAGTGGCATAAGATTAAAGAATTCCACTCATCATGCATGTTCTGAGATAGAGAAGAGATGTTCAAACCTTAAAGACTTCCAGCTCCTCCAAAATGAGCTCGCCACTGGCAGAGTTGTTAGTAGGAAGAACAACCACTTTATGCACAGTACCCCGATCTAAATTAAAGAAAGAAGCAATGAGATGTTACAATACTTTTTAAAGGAAAGCTATTTAGACACAGGACTACTGATTTAGAACATTATTTACATAAGTATTTAGTAATCAAAAACATTGTTCATATTAAGCCATTGCCATGTTCAATATGCTGAATGTATTCCAAATCTCATAACAATTGATACTACATACAATTCAAGAGGAACTACTATGAATATCATACTTTGGACATATTGGGTGTAGCCACATCTATGAGAGAAGGAAAGAATCTTCAAATGTTAAGTAAAAAGTTCAGAAACACCATTCCCAGCTAATTTTTTGTATTTTCAATAGAGACAGGGTTTCAACGTGATAGCCAGGATGGTCTCAATCTCCTGACCTTGTAATTCGTCCACCTTGGCCTCCCAAAGTGCTGGGATTACAGGTGTGAGCCACTGCATCCGGCCAATATATGTTTAATTCTGGTCATTAATATTACTTACGCTTCCACACCAACATTATATATAAGTCCCTTGGGTCAAATTATTTCTTCTGAGGAGGCAAGAACTTAGGTTGCTGCAGACCCATACAAATTTGCTGCCAAGTAACAAGTTGGCAATATGTTTCTTTGGATATTCTCATAATGTAGAGGAAATTTTGAAATTAGATGATCCAAATAAGAAATTTACTTATATTTTCTAATTACTGATAGCCAAAAATTGAGATACCCAAATAAATATAAGAATACAGAAAATATTATTTATGTCATGATTTATAATTAAAATGGCTTCACAAGTCACATAAACATTATGCATATAATCATGCCACTCTACCAATCACATGAATTTTAGGTTTAAAAGACACTAGTCTAGATTTAGCAATGTGGGGTTAAAGCATATTTGTGAGTAATCTGGCAAAGTAAAAATATTTTTAGTTAAAATGTTTCTATTAACTAATGAGTTGGATCATAAATATGAAGTTATTGCTCTTTTAAATTATAACTCTAAATTTATAATTTATAAATATGCATTATCATCAACATAATGTGCATTTTAAAATTCTGTTGTAAAATGTCATAAGAAGAATTAACTTGAACTGAACTGTACAGGACGTTACAACTAGAAATCACATAGTGAGTAATAATATAAATTTCAAATCTCACATCTCAAGTTGGCTTCTATTTGGCAGGCAAGAATTCTTCTGACATAAAAGATTTTATCTCATGTTTATAGTTTGTGTTTTATTAATCCAATTGATAGAGTCAAAGTAATTCTTAATAAAAAATAAACTCAACTTTAAAACACTGAAAAATAAAAAATCAAAATCCACTAAATTAAAAAAAAACTCTTTATACAAAAGAGGAAGACAGAGTTTGCCAGAATAATCCCTGAAATTTTTAAGGATACAAAGTATAAGCACATAATCTTATAAGTTGCATAGCATACTCTGTAATTTAAAATTCACTTCTTAAACCATACTCAAAAAATGTGAAAATAATAACAATCCCACAGATTTGCAGGCTCTAGTTTTCATTAAAAATCTCTGTGATATCTGTTTTGCAGATGCTTCCTTAGAATCACCCCTGATAACAATTTAGATGATTTTCTTGGAAGTTAAGTAATACAAGTAAAAATTGGAAGTGAAAACACATGTGAGGATGCTGTGCAGAGACATGTCACAACTGAAAATGGATAAAAGTGATTGGAGGTGTTCCTCAATTTCTATTAACAACCTATTGCAATTAGCTGTGGAAACGCCTATGGAAATACGACATACCAAAAACTTGATCTGAAACCCATGAAACTGTTATAGCTAGGGCAAGATTTTTAAAAAAGTTTTATTTGTGTGTGTGTGTGTGTGTGTGTGTGAGCGCGCGTGTGTGTGTGTGTGTAAACAAGCACATGCATGTGTATGCATATCTGTTCCTGTTGAGTATTTGTGGAATTAATTTGTAGGCATGAAGGATAAAAGAAAACTCAGACAAATTCAGATGTAAAATCTTTGTTATATGGCATGCTATCATAAAAAGCAAGTTCTTTTTTTTTTCACAAGTCATAATATTTTTATGATTCCCTGCTGCAGTTTGTAAGGATCACTACCATTCTGTGTGACAGCAAAATCCACACTCTTTCTTCTTTGTTTGCAACTCTTTAAATTTTTTAATTTTTAATTATGGATATATAATAGTTGTACATATTTATGAGGTATATGTCATATTTTTGATACAGACATACAATGTATCATGATCAAATCAGGTAACTGGGGTACTCATTATCTTAAGCATTTATCATTTCTTTGTGTTAGGAATATTCCAGTTCCACTCTTTTAGTTATTTTAAAACATACAATGAATTACTGTTTACTATAGTTGCCCTACGAAAAGAGACTGAGTAGAGTGGCTGTGTATAACATAGCGCCAAATAAAACCACATTAAAACAGATTTTGGTTAGAAAGGTTCCAATAGATAAAACTATTAGCTTTGAAAAGAATTAAGTACTCTCAAATGAGACAACTGACTCCATTTTCCCCCAGTGTTTTAACTTACTATGAGAGCAAAATTTTACAGAAATCCCCCTTTTCTTCTGACATGGCCCACAACAAACTAACTTTATGCATACCATTAAAAAATATTACACAAAGAAGAGCTATGAAGATGAGCTAACAAAAAGATAATGCAGGCTGGGCACAGTGGCTCACACTATAATCCCAGCACTTTGGGAGGCCAAGGCGGGCGGATCACCTGAGGTCAGGAGTTCGAGACCAGCCTGGCCAACACAGTGAAACCCTGTCTCTATTAAAATTACGAAAAATTAGCCAGGTGTGATGGTAGATCCCTGTAATCCCAGCTACTCCAGAGGAGGCTGAGGCCTGAGGATCACTTGAACCTGGGAGGCGGAGGTGGCAGTGAGCCAAGACGGTGCTATTGCACTCCTGTACTCCAGCCTGGGGGGGGATAGAGCAGGACTCTGTCTCAGAAAAAAAAAAAAAAGATACTGCAAAACCTGCTTTTGATCCATTTGCAATTAATATTAGAATACCACTTTTAGTCATTTCTCTTTTCCTATATGATTTTTGGTTTTGATGGTAATGAGCTCCCCATGTGAGAAATACTTCTGAGGTATCCTTGGGCTGTATCTTTTACTACTAATTAAATAAGTAGTCTTAAGTTGTCTTCTATGCCTTTTCATTCGCTGATTCAACAAGAAAGTACTGAGAGAGTTCAGCGAGTTGGGCAGTATGAATACAAACATACATAGGCACAGGACTCAAGAGTCCAGAATCTAGAATTTATGGCTTTTTGAGCAGTAAGTGTGTTCCCATTAAAATGTTAGTCATTGAGAGATATGCATTCCAGAATGGCCATAAAACTCCTAATTACTTATGTCTACATAAAGCCATGTCTATGCCTTTTCGTTTGAAGATGATAATATAGTTATCAAATGTCTTCCTTCTGGGGGTGGTGAAAATGGTATTCCTTGAATGTATTCACAACTATAAATCATCTTTATTGTTCTGTAGAATTGGGTTATTGCTTGGGGAAAGCACCATGCCTATGATTTAGTTACAGTGAAGCCATCACTTCCTTTTTTCCTTAAATCTCACTTTGCTAGTGTGTAAAATGTAAGTAATAACCATGCTTTTCATAATGGTTATCTAAAAATCCATTACGCTAAAGCTAAAGTTTAGCCAGAATCACTTCCCTTCTTTTGGTGCTAACACCCTGACACATCTTTGGGAAACACCGCCTATCTCATTCTCAGTCTACCTGGTTAAGAAATGGCTTATCTCTCTTCCAGCTCCAGGGAGGCCCACATGATGTAGGCTAGGCCAAGAAGAGCATACCCTTCCTTGCCCCTGTGATTCACACAGGAACTGGCCTAGAAGTGAGTGAGGGCCCTGCCCTTCCTGGGAATGAGGTAAGTGAGACTCTTCTTCTTTCTGAAATCAGGAGTATTAAAGCTTATAAATCTGGAGGTGCTGGAGCCATTCTTACTACCACATGCAGAGACTTCATTTGAGAACAAGCAATGCAGAGGAAAGTAAAACTGATAGGTGGTGAAATGAGTTCCTGACCACATCATCTTAGCACAAATTTAGCTATGTCTGAGGCTGCATTCTGGATTTCTCTGTTAGACAAAGAAAACAGTATTTTGTTTTAAGTAGTCTGAGTCAGGTGTGTGGTCACTTTCAGTTGAGAGTTCTGACTAATAAAAATTAAACAAAAAAGACATGGAAATTGCCTAGCATGGTGTCTGGCACATCAATAACTCAGTAAGTAGAAGTTATGGTTTAGTTTTAGCTTCATCACTAAGTACACTTTTCACATGACTGCAGTCACTTTCTTTTACTGGACCTCAATTTTCTCAGCTGTGAGGTGTAGATGATAGAGATACTCTGAATACATTAAGGCATTGTGTGGGGAAGCAACACAAATCTGCAAAGTGATTTGCATAATGCAACTCTATGCGCAAAGACAACACAGCAGACTCATCAATCCACATGAGACATTTTTATTTTCTCTTGTTTTATTAAATCATTAAAGAAAATCTCCTAGACAGGCTTCCTTCCTGCCTTATTTACTTTATACCATCCTATTTTTTTCTAATATAAGGGAGCACGGCAATTATCCTTAAACCTTTCCACTGTTTCTAGCCAAGAGATCAGCTTGTATTTGTAAGTACAGTAAGTGCTGGCTGTCTCAGGCAAGGGATCAAACACAGCTCACTACCAAGCAGGTCACTGGAATCAACATTTGTGTATCTATCTCTTGAGTCTTATGTAAACAGTTCTTAGGGGGTTTCCCTGGAAACTGATGTGCCAAACTGTCTGTTTTCCCCTGCTCTTCTGGTTGCCTAGGGATCTGGGGGAACACTGCCTCCGTAATGGAATCTGGTCAGTCCCTTCCTCCTGGTTGCTAACCTATAAACATATTCTAGTCAGGGCCATGGGTGTATCACACACAGTCACACAAGTTCCTATGCACGGAAGGGCTCTTTGTGTTCCTACATGTCAGCCTAGGCAG